CAAAAACAAAATTGGGGTTGGCCCAAAAAAAAAAAAAAAAAAAAAAAAAAAAGAAAAGATGTGTGTATTTGATCAAAATAACTCAAACAATTTTAAGGCTCACCTGCCTACTTCCAAATACTTAAATGCATTACATGCAAAAGAGGAAAAATAGGTTTAATGACTGTATCTTAATTAAGCAATTAAGTTGCTGACATTTTTCCTACATGAAGCTTGCAACCCCCATTGCATATAGCCTTCGCTAGTCTTGTGTAATGTCAGTAAGCCACAGTAAGTAAGCATTTGCAGGATCGGACCTGGGTTATCTTCATAATTGCAATATTATCTCTCTGTACAAAACAAAAATGTTTTATTTTCCTAACTTAGCTTTTACTTTGGAACTGCAGACCCTTCTGATCACAGAACATCACCAATATGCCTGTGTATTAAACTACATTTGAACAAATCTGAAAAAGCTTAGGAAGGCACAAGGGAGGATTCAGTAAAGTCTTCAGGATCCTTATTAACCGCACAAACATTCGTTCATAATTTTGGTGACAGTACCAAAACTTTCATTTACTTGTTTCAAAATTAACCTCCAAAATATCTCTGGCCATATCTGTGTATTTGAAAAATAAGAGGTAACATTTTTAAAATTGAGACAGATGTGTTGTTGCTAAGTAGGAGATGCTAAGATACCACTATACAGGATATAAAATAGACATATTACAAATCATTATTACTCACCGAAGGTGGTGTTCTTTGTAAAGTAAGCAAAGCATGACAATGCATTTAGCAGCTTTTTTAAACCTGAACAGAAGATCTGACTGAAAGAAGACAGTAATCAATAGCTGGTTACTCTTATTACTAGTTCCAGTATTTTTGTAGTTTCATGATTAAGTATTGTGATAAAAATCTTATTGCTGGAGAATATTTTTCATACTTGAAACCCCTTATTACAGCCGTTGCACTAAAAGGTGCATGTTTCCATGCAGAAGTACATTCATGGCAGATGCTATTACAGCAAAAGCAGCATCTTCCTGTTTCCTATCCTGTCTTTTACAGGAACCTAGAAATTACCATACCAGAACAGCCTTGTCACAGGTTGTCTAACATCCTGATTTCACTAATGTCGGATCCTTCAGAGAAAAACCTCATAGTGCATTAACTGAACAATACCGTCCTTTCGGGAAAGATTCTTTCTTGCCTTATTTTGCAATCAAATTATGCCTCATAGTATGAGGCCTAATTGTCCTATACTAGCCTAGTTCAAGTAAACACCAGTGCAAATTTGAACCCCTGGATGCATGAAAGATGAGAAACACAACAGAACCATCATGGTTATGATGCACTGGGAAACAGGGAGTGGATCACGACAAAGGAAAATTCCATTTTCTCCAAGGCAAAAGGCTGCACAACTACACAGACCCACTGGTAGTAGCTTGACTGCTACCACAGTCTCATCTGAACAAAACATTGAAATGCTTCATTAGAAGAGCTGGAAACGTTTGATTAGGGAGTGAGTTTTCTTTGCATCCTTCCCTCACTCTTTCCATCGCAATGAAACGTGTTTCACTTCACGCTGTACCTGTTACCCCTTAACTTGTGATCCTATAATAAGAGCCAAAGCTCACAACTGAACTGCCTTTAATGGAAGATAATTCCTGGTGTATTCTCCTCTCATATACACCAGTGTAAGTCAGGAGTAGCTAAGTGAAGGAACCCTATACTGAATGGGGAGTAAGAGGCAGCAGCAAATAACTTGCTCAGAACAAAACCCTTTCTTCATGCAGATACTACTTTTAACGGACAAAATGGGAAAGTGAGCTTTCCACAAGGGGTCATAAGTCTTTGGTTAAAAGATCATATTTTATTGAGATAGTTTCTGGAATTTTTAATATAAGGCTTCACACTTTAGATGCTCACCTCTCAAACCCTCTCTAATTGTTACTGCCAGTACAAATTACATCATTATACCAGTACAATTTGCTATCAGTTTATTTGTGAAAATTAAAGAGAAAAACAAATATTGTTTCTTACATTTGTGTGAAATACTTCCTCCTACTATAAAGATAGGAGCCAACTATATTTCTAAGAGAAGCCCACTGAAATCAGGGCCATTATACCTAGGTTAAATTTGCTCCTTAGAATCAGTCCTATAAGACTAACTGTTGCTAGCCCTCACCTTGAATCTGCTGGGTCTCTCTCTTGCCTGGTGCCCCAGGGGTGGGGATATGATGTGCTGCAGAAATTGGGAGGGTGTCCATGTGCTGTATCCTCTGCCCTTAGGAACGTGAGGCTTTTTTCCCAGATTTGTCAGCTTCCGTCTTCCCAGAGCGGATGGTCCTGCGGGGAGATTTCTCTTCCAGTGGACTCCATCACTGAAGTTGGATCCAGGCATAAGTTTCCCAGGAGGCAGGCAATGACACAGAGAAGGACTTAAATCTGAGATCATCTTTCTTCTGGAATTCTTACTCTTTCTCCCTTTTGTAGAATCCTGTCCCAGTGCCTGCAGAGAAGCTATGATGCTAGCTTTCCTTTTTTCTTGATCCAGTAGCATCTTGCTGCTGGAATGGAAAACAACATAAACAGCCTGTCAAAAAAATACCTAAGAACATTTAGTTGCTATAACCACCACCACATTTCTCATGGAGATAGGGGATATATGCAAAAGAACATGCAATGTTTCTACTGAGAAAAATAATTATTATTCCTTTTTTCCTAAAACACTAAAATAGATCAATGCAAAAGACAGTGATGCTCAAAAATTAAAAACAATTACTATTCAATTTCCTAATGCTAAATCCTAAATGTGTGAACAAAATTAAAGGATCAAGTAGCCTAGTAAGTTAATAAATGTTGCAGGGAGACCTGTCAATTATTGCTAATAGATCCTGCCTGTGAAAAGGGAGCTATAAATACAGCATCTGATGCCTCTTCCAGTTACTGATCCGTACTACTGCTTTGCTAATTTATACTGACAACAAACACAGCCAGTGTGAAATGGCTCTGGATTATGTTGTCCAATAAGGTGGACAGAAAGGCGGATCTTCACAAGTTTTTTTCCCTATTGCTTTCAAAGTTACTGTTCAGTATCCTTGGAAATGCAGTTGACATAAGGATGTGATGTCTGCATCATTTGAAGTGGATTCACTCCTCTCAGAAGAGTGCAGCACTGTGCTTTTGAGATAGGGACTGTTGTTCGTTTTGGAAACTTCTGCACACATGCACATTACACATATCCATTCCCTCAGACATGCATTTTTACCACGTACACTCACATAGCACCATGTGAACAATCAACTTTTCTAATACCCCCTCGCATAGACCCTCCTACCTACACCCATCCATGCACAGTATCATTTACTTCTATCTTACACCATTATTATATTATATACTTACACAGTCATCAGAAATAAACATGATCTACACAAGCTCTTTAACCCTTCTCATCCTGCAAAACACATATATGGTCAGAAATTGCCAGTAGTGTCTACTCTCTAGAAATGATATCAGCTGCCTATACACATGCTCAGGGTGGGGCATTTTAAGTAGGGCAGTTCCCAGAGAGATGCTGTAACTAAAATGCTTCATCCTCATGTCTATTAAGCCCTGCATGTTTAAAAATGGCCACAGGATGCTTTAGCTGAGGTTTAACTAAGCATCCTGTAGGCATTTTTAAATGTTCAGGGCCTAACAGACGTGACAACAAGGCATTTTAATTGGAGTGGCTCTTCAGCAACCACACTAATTAAAATTTCTCATTTGATGAGGTTTAGCTAAAGCACTCCAGCAACTGTTTTAAAACACATGGAGGCTTAATAGACATGATGACAAGGCACTGCTAAAGTGTTTTAATTAGAACACAGAGCAAACTTGATTAATCTGTATTGCGTATAGGCAGCTGATGCGATTAATCCAGGGGTTGTTCTGTATTTCCCATAGCACATTTCTATTTCTTAAACAAAGAAAAATTACTTTTAGCAAACGCTTGATCCTCATTTAGAAAACAGAAATTTGTATTTTTGGAAAGCATGCTCAGTGCTCCTCTCCCTTCCTGCATCATCCAACCATTTCTTGATATAGCAATGCATATCTACTGTGCTCTGCCAGACGTCCTAAGAAAAAAAATACTTTGCAGTTACTTAATTAAAACCTGTCACAATGTATGTGCATGAGGGGATACAAGACAATGACACTCTGATGTTTTCCAACTTCCAAGGGTTTGGCTTTCTAATCTGAACAATACTGTTCCAACATAGACACTTAAATATCAGGTCATACTTGCCTGCCAATAGTTGGAAACCATTGCTAATGTTCACACACACAGTACAGCTCACTGGAAAAACATCACA